TTCTATAATAAATTACTTTTTTAATAAATTCCGAATTGCACTATGCCATATCCTTTACCATGGATGGTACATGATTCTCTGTGGATGCGACTTTCATTTCTCTTCATCTTTTTCTGTTTGGAGAACCCATAAAGCAAGATGCAGTCAGAGATGTTTTTTAAAGTTTAAAAAAATATTCAGGACGGTTAAGATAAAGGGCAACGTATACTTAATCGTTTGCGAATGACAGCACAATCAAATTTCAACAATGAGTAACGAAAGATCGATTCAAAAGGAACACCGTAATTTCCAAGAAAATGGCAACTGTAATATTTTAAACATTATTTAATCATTGCATTATTATATTATATAAACATTATTATATTATCTATGTCTGTATACATGAAAAATAATGAAAACAATAATAATAATTTATTCTGTTTTAAATTTTCAATCAATAAATGTTTTTTTTTGTTTCCAAATCTGATATAAATGTACATATTTTTATGTGCAGCCCGTGAGATTACAATGTTTTTCCGAAGTGGTCCGCAAGGTCATGACTAATAACAATCAAGCTGTATTGTTATCCTAAAAGTAGTATATGATAGCATTTTAATCTTATAATGTATGTGATGCTTTTTTTCTGTGTTGTGAATACTTAAAATTTTCCCCTAGTGTGTTGGAAATGCATTTTGATTATTCAAATTTAAGAACAATTAACTGTAATAAAAAATATAGACACAGCTGATGTTCTGAAACACAATAGAGGAAAATTAATTAAATGTTTATTTAATAGCAACAAAAATGGAAAGACCGAAAAACGTTTAACGTTATTTTAGTTTAAATTTCGAAATGACTACACTTGGGAATATGTAAAATATTTTTCAAAAAAATATATGTGCATATATAGTTTTATAAAATTGTTTTCTCATTCAATCTCTTGCTTTATTATATTTTAAGAAAACAAATTAAAATTCTTTTTTTATTTACATAACTCGAAATTTTTATTTTATTCATAAAAAAATAATAAACCTTTTAATATTTCATCGTTTCTAACGATTTAAATTTTTCGTTATTATGCGAATATAAGTAATATTTACTTGCCATCTTTATTTTTATTTTAGTTTACTTTTTTCCTTTATCACTTGCTCCAACAATAACAACTACAAAAAAAAAAAAGGTTTTTGTAAAATTTTATTTTGCTTGCAGATATATAACACTTCGCAATTCAAACCGAAATATTTTTCCTCGTGTCTCTTGAGGTTACCATCAAACAGATTGACTTAAAAAAATACTGCCGATAAAGCGATATAAATATCGATGTAAAACGATATAAATATCGAAGCAAAACGTTGTCCCAATCACGCTAGATGAGATCGTTTCTTTTGTCGCATTTGTCTTTCTTTCCTTGCATATTTATTTCGCCTTCTTCTTACTTACCCTGCAGGAGTAACATGCTTTGCGGGGGAAAGGGGAAAAAGTGAGGTAAAAATCCCTTGACAGAATCTTTCTACAGTTAAAACACAATTTGCCTTAAAATTCGATCAAAGATATTTTGTTTCCTTTTTTTTCTTCTTTCTGTCGCTTTCGATTTACTTGAGTTTATATAAACGACGGAATGGGATAAAAGTAAAATAAATATAAATATACCAGATAAACATCTAGGCCATTTTATTGGGTGTAATATGCTACTTCGGAGTGTGTTGTATTCCCTTTTCTTGGAGTCTTTACTGGAAGTCAATTTATTCTTGTATCCATACAGAGATGGATTTGAATAGGTACAAATTTTATTTAGATGCCCAGGGCTTTGAATCACATTCTTTAAAAAGATATTCATCGTTCTTTTTTTTCCACCAAAGAAAATTGTTGTCTCTGCTTTTGCATTGTAAATTTTTACTCTATCTGCTTCGATCAAATTCGAAAAGTCAGCTTGCGGCTTTGAATATAGTTAACCTATATAAGTGTAAAAATATGTATCAAAAAAACCTCTTTAAAAAAAATTTTGCTTCTTTTGTTTTATAAATGTTGGGAATTTGGTAAAATTGTAATGCTATTGGTATCTGTGTAGCACAAAATAGTAAAAGGATTTTTTTGAATAAAAATAGATGTTAAGAATCTTAGTGATTTGCAGATGTTAAATTCAAACAATTTTATGCGATTTTTTTCGACGATGTTGCAGCTATTAATTGAATTTTTTTTTCTGTTGTTTGGAAGCCCAGATTTTAGTTATTCGCTTTTAAAAAGTATTAAATTCAATTTGAATTAACATGTTATCACTATTGTTAGTTATTATTTTACTTTTATGTGAAAGTACTTCGTTGATTATGTTTGTATTATTTATCAAATAGTTACTGCGACTGCCATTAATTGGAATCAATTGAATCAAATTTTTAATAATTGTTTTTCATTTTCAATTTATGCTTCATACTTGACATGTAAAAGTAAAATTACTGTATGGAAAAATTAATTAATAAAAAACATTTTGCACAATACGATATATATACTAATGTTAAACAAATCATTATAAAGTTAATTAATTTGGAGGAAAAATAGTTTCAATAAGAATGCCTTATCGATAATTTCTAGGTATAAGTGCATAAATTAGAGAAGAAAAAGTGAAATATTTATATGACATTCTAGTATTGTCAGGAAAATATATAAACTCTTGATGAACAAATAAGTGAATGTGAAAAGTCCGTTTTAAATAAAATTTTGTAACAAAAAAATTCTCCCAAGCACACGATATAAATTTGTATTCTCTTCACTTTGAGAGTAAAAAATCCCATAATGCTCGTGTAATATTAAAATTTAAATTAATTTAATAAAACAATTGTGTGACTGTGCTCTCTTAAATGCGAATGATTTCTGATTCAATGAATAAAATACCTCACATAAACTAATTCTTTGGCTTTTATTTAAATTTTCTACTAAAAATATAACTAATGGTTTAAAATTAATTTATTTAAAATCGTATAATATGTAATTATCATTACTATAATTTTTAAGTGCAATTTTAATCATAAAAATTAAGTTTTTTGGTACTTTAGTTTTAAACATAAATATTTGCTTTTAATAAGAATAAATAAAATATACGAATAATAAGTCTCTCTTAAAATTCAACACTAATTTAAATTAAAATAGCCTAAAATGTTGTAAAAGTTTGATAAATATTGATATGGACCCCTTTTTATGCTGAAAACATGCCCACTGACCCCTTTTTATAGTTAAAACTAGCCCACGGACCCCTTTTTAAAGTCAACTCCCCCCCAATTGAAAAAGCTACATAAATATATAGTATAAAAATTACAAATTTAAAAAAACAATATTTTGTTGAAGTATTATTTATTGAAATTGTTTATATATTATAAAAAATATTTTGTTTTAAATAAAATATAAAAAAATTAATGACTTGGATGAATATGATGAGATGTTATGAGTGTATTTATATTCGTCTCGATGTTTGTGCGACTAGTAACCGCAAATCCCCACAAGCACTAGTTTTTAGTCGGTTTCATTTTTCTTTTGTTTTGTGAAAAGGTTTTTTAAGGCATTGAGAATCCACGTTCTACCAAATTGGAAGACGGGAAAGTAGTCAACTACCTTTGTACAATAACCCATAATGCAGGATATAAAATTGGGATCTGTTTTTGTAACGTGAATGTGTGGTATCCTTGTTCAAACATTGGTTTAAGTCCCTCATTTGCGGATATTTCAACAAGATGCTCCTGTATTAGTTTAGATTCAACTTTGTTTGGGATGCGAGTTAATCCACGCGTAAATGGGTTCAACACTCATTCGGTAATATCCAAGTGAATTTTTGTTATTTATTTAAATTTCCATAAAAATAAAAATGGATGAATTTATCTTAAATTTTATATTAAACTTTGCGGGGGGATCCCTGTGTGTGACGTTGTTCAAGGACCCCAAAATCAATTTTATTTTTCCACTGACCCTCTGAATAATATCGGGGACCCCTAAGAGTTCTTAGGGACCACTTTGGGAACCACTTCTGTATATTATTCAATATTGTTGTGAATTTAATGGTACAACTTATAACAGAAAATTCAGAGTAGCTCATTACCACAGATCAAAATGAATTGAGTTCCATGAAATATTTTATTTTGCGATAAATTCGAAAGTCATACCTTTCCTTAATTATTACTATTTAGAGGTTTAAAATGCTTTAGAAAAAAATCTCATAATTTTTTAATAAGTGTACAGTAATTATTAAAAAATGAAATGCCTTCAGTTTGTCCTTGCCTGTTATAATTTTGAGTTGCTCTAATCTTTTTCTCTTAGCTATTTATAACGTAATTTTATAATTAAGCAGTATGAAACTTTTTTTTTCTTTTAAAATGTTTATCTAGGTATATATTATTTTTAGTTCGACATACATATTTCGTCATTCATATAAAAGTCGTGTCGTCTTACCTTCAACTATTCTGAAACCTTCCCTCTCTCTCGGAGCCAAATTCTTGTTTTTGATTGTGGTCCATTTGATGGGCTTCCAGCTATTTTATTTATATATCTTCTTTTGTCGGAACGCCTGTCCCACTTAGAAGAAAACATTATGAAACGATTTGCTATATTGAAGCTAAAAATAATTATTTACTTTTTTTATCTTCATCAATTATTAAATAAGTTTTAAAAGATTCTCTTAAAATTATTAAGTATTGTCTTTAAAGTGTATAAAAATTTTAGATTCTATTGGAAATTGAAATAAACTTTAACCAGTAATATACAAAAAAATTTTACTTAAAGTAATTCCTACTTACGTCAACAAAGAAAATTTTTATTTTAGTTACTTTTTATTAAATAATTACAATTTATATAAATATGGTATATATGTATGAGAGAATCACAATATTAAGTGGCAAAATATAAAGCGATTTTCCTTGCAGTTTTCCGTTTTCCTTTCTATATAGTGTGTTGGACACTTATTTTAGTTTGTTACTACTTATTCATTAAGTTTAAGTATTTCAATAAAATAGTATGGTAAAAAGAAATCTCAGAAATTTGGCTATCCCAGGTGGGATTCGATCCCACAACCTTCGGATTAGAAGTCCAACGCGCAACCCATTTTGCTACAGGGACACAACGAACCATTTTCCTTTCTATTTATGGTGTTGGACTATTATTTTTGTTTGTAATTATTTGTTCATTTTTTAATTTAACTGAAGAATTAATATTTGAAAAAACTATTAACATCAAGTGTC